CATAGGATTAACAAGAGGCTTAGTAACTCAATCGCACAGACTCAGCAACGACACACGATTCGTACCAGTGATTAAACTCATCAGTAATGAGTGGCCACATTTTTAAAGTATATTCCCTCACATTTTCAATGGAGGTCTTGAGATAACTGTCTTCAGTATGTCGACGGTTCGGTGACGCCGGAAAAAACAGCAACACATTTGTCAGTCACCTTCGACCCTCTTAAAAACTGACATATTTAGGAGAATAAATTACAGTCCAGTGTAGTATATGCTTTGAGTGTTTTTGGAGCCCTTTCCGACTCAAAAAAAGCAAAAAAGTTTGGCCGATTCAGTAACCGACCCTGAAATATCAACGGAATATGCTGAAATTGATATTACACACTACCTTGTACCGTGGTGTTATCAAACCATTTGTTTCACTTTCGTTATTAACCATAACAAAACACACACAATACAACCTGCATGTGTTAGCATATCACCTGGAAAAGATTCCCGCATCAATGTATACATGGGTGGTATACATACTTTACAGTCCTCGGCTTTCTTGCTAGCTTTCATAATCCCATTGCATTCCAAACTAGTTTCATAATCAGTGATTGTGCTTACGGCGCGTGCCACACCTAGGAGTTCTATCAAAAGTTACCCACTCCTCAGCCCTTTTATTTGAAATTGTAACTAAGAAATCAACTATCCACCAAAGAAAGCTGTTGTCGTGGTTGATAATTTGAACTGAAGAGTACCACGAGTTAGTGCTTTTAAACAACTTGATGCAGTTTTGAATCCATCAGCATACACACTTCGGCTTGGCTGAGGCACACACTTAGGCGGTCATCATAAAGCACTTACCAATAAGCTTGCGCTGAAAAGCAACCCCGTGACAGGAAGTGAGCGGTGGTTACAGCTTTAAGAAAAGCATGCATTATAGTAATGTATCCTTGTTAGCTTTACGACCACGACTTTTGTGGTTTTGAACAGATGTTCATCACATTTAACCTCATTTAGACGGCCATTACATGCCCGGAAAATCACTGTACAGCTGTTTTATCGCTTTGGGAATCGTCAACAGTGCGCATTCCATCTGACCCCAATGGAACGCTCAAACCAACTGTTATCAGTCCGTAGTGAAGAACACTAGGCTACGGGGGCAGTAACGACTGCCGTGACTAAGTTACTAGATGAGATACAATGCGGCTGACTATCCGCTGATTTTCACGTTATTGCCGTACAGATGACATGGTAGCCCCCTCATCAAGCGACGCATTTACCAAACTTAAGTCACCAGATGGAATGCGCACTGCCAACGATTTCCGAGAGGATGAAATGGAGGTATACTGATTTTCTGGGCTTGTGATGACTGTCTAACTGATTCTGGATGTGATGAATTTCTATTTATACCCGTCGATTTCTCTACTGCGCCCTTGTTAGTGTAGGTTTGGAGTATGTTTGATGCTTAACAGACAGGAAGGTAAATTCGTTGGTTAGTTTGTCACTGAAACACTAATATTTTGTTAGCGTAAAGCAATTAGTTTGATGAAAATATAAAAATTAATCTCACCAGTTGTAGGAAAGCAGACACCGTCAAATTTTCAATACGTGATTGGCAGAAGGCATTTAATCTGTTGTTCCATCCTCCATCTCGTGTCACCCATTTAAAAAGAATCATTTATTGTAAAGAAATGGGATGCCAGCTCCAATACTTAATCCTGCCATCTCTCCTTTACCGGTGGGTGTGTGCGCGTGTCCGGCGACTTCTGAGTACATGAATACAATTTCAGTACTCCTCGATCTTCGTGATTACCTCTTTTCGAACTCCATGTGTGAATCCATCCTCCGCACATAAGACTAAACTGGTACTGTATGACCATAAAGAAGGAATCATGCGATCCTACTTTTGTCAACCCACTTCTGTTTACACACATCAGATCTAGTAAGAATATGACATTAAAGCTATTGGCGTATGCAACTCGTCCCCATACCTGACGTATTATTCGAATATTTGTCAGCTTCATCTTGTGGGCAGAAGTACCAATTGATATATGCTAGCACATAAACCCGCTGATAGCCGGTCATCATTTAGCTATCCCGTATTTTATTAAACCCAAACTCTATCGTATTAGAACTAACCAATCTATTCGTCATATGCTGAAGTCCCAGTTTACAATTTATTAATCCGCCTTGTACAGTACTATTTTCTTAATTAATTTGTCTTTTTGGACATTGCTGAGGTCATGTGTTTCGTAGATGAGTATTTACCCGCCCAGGGTTCCGGTCCGTGGCCTAAATGATCATAAGCCTACCCTGTACTCCGTAGGCGCAGTTTCGAGTCCGTGTAAGGGACCGAGCACCCATTGCAGTATCCTTAGCCCACTGACGACTGAAGGTGGTTTCGCAGTAGAAAAAGCGTCAGTATTGCCTACCAGCGTACTGTTGATATCTTCAGGGTGCATAAACTAGTTGCCTGACCTAAGTTGACTTGACCAGTCGATCAATGTCCTCCACGTTATACTACATACATGCGAACCGAATTGTTCTGGAGTAGTTTGTAAACAAAGTATGTGATTATAGTTACCGACAAAAGTGTTGCGTACCTGTCAATATTTTCCCACTGTGATCTCAGTGACATACCAAAAGCAATATTTCCGGTGGTTTAGCCGAACTGACTGAAACTACCCTGCTTGTACAGGGACAACGAAATTGACTGTTGCGAGAAAGGATCGGACATCCTGATGAAGTAAGCCAGTAGGCGCATGCGGGAGTAAACTGCAATTGGCCAACCACCATGCCTCTGATTAAGAGTGGATTATTGATCGGTCGCACTGCTTCAAACACATCATGCATAGCCAAAGGTTTCGTACTATGTACATCGTTCCTGTTTCATAAACGGTTTCATTCAGCTTTGTGTGCGGTCACTACAGGCACATTGGAATCAGCGTTATTCGTCGATAATTTTCCCACATACTGTGCCTAATCGATACCGGTTTATCGAACATGACTAACTGGTTGATGGACTCAGTGTTCTTTACCAGTAGCGGCTCGTCAGTCAGGAATATTATTGATTTGGGGCTTATTGTAAAGTTTAAGGAATTTTAACAGGCGCAGTGCAAATACACTGGAGCATTTCCTTTAGAAAACACATCTAGGATACGTTAGCAAGTGGATATGCTTAAGTTGATAAGTTGACTACGATCTGATTAACCGCTGTGAAGCATAGGTTGTAATTCGCAGAGCATGTCGTTTTCTTCATTACACGGCGTCCAACATGAAATACACTTTAAATAATCCGAGAGATCAGTGAAAACCACGGTAAGTCACCAAGATGCGTTGCTATTACCAGAGATTTCAGCTGTATGTCATAATTTATTACATTTATTTACAGCGCATACCTTTTGGCTTATCTTTTGGAGAATTGCCTGGTCACTACCATCCAATTGTGGCCGTGAATGGTGTCAAGCGTGTCTGTTACTCAGACTACTGTTTGTCATTTGCATGCTAACTGAAACCTCATTGCATGGAGAAATGTGGCCTGAACTGAAGCAAGCGTCCAACCAAGAGTGATTCTTTAAGAACTGCAGATCAGTGACTCGAAACTGGACTCTGAGACCAACTACATAAAATGTAACCGAATGTTTAGTTAGTATCGTATTTGTAACCACCTCGAATAGAAGAGTAGACTAGAAACTGAATCCAGCACGCAATGAAGTCAACTCACCATCCGAGAGGTCAAGCACCCCCTAGCTGATCTCTGCCAAAATGAATAACGTCAGAGGATTACCATGATAATCGTGTCTGGGGAGAAATACCCTAAGGGCTTAATAGAAATAGAGCGCGGAGCTTGGGGTGAGGAAATTGCGCACAATAATCAATTCGAACGATTGGCTTCATGGGAAAATAACTCTTATTCCTTAGACATAGCTAACTTGCGTGGAGCTGCAGCTGAATCAAAAGTCCGAAAAAGTTGCAACTCGATTCAGGGATAATGAGATCTTTAACAGAATGTGTGATATGTAACCCCGGAAGACTCATAAAATTGAGTTCATAATCACTATCATTGATACCTTCAATTTTCTCAGACAACGGTACCCTTTATAAGTTTGTTTCCACGTTTTACTTTTGGATTTGAGATGAATAGCGCATTGCCATTAAGGTGTAGCAAATACGTACGCAACCTATGGCTCATAGGGAAACAACCGGAAACGCGCCAAGTAATTCGGAACGGCACGTTACCTTGGTGATGGCTGATAACCTTTTCCGCTGCTGGAAGGTGAAAAAGGACCACAACAACTTGTTTATAAAGTAGACAAGGACGGTAGCGATAATTAGAGCTTTAGCTGGATTATTCTCGTATGTAGACGGTATGTAATAGACGTGAATGTTAATTCGTTAGACGCAGTTTTACAAATGCTTATTTATCTGACGTGCAGGAATATCAGTTCGCACAGCATTTTCGCAACCAGCACGACTTACTTAGTTGGTTAGTGACAGCAAGATCGTTAATTTATTTACAACAGGGATCGTAATGTCAGAACGAAACATGTGGACTTACATCTGGAAAGGCGACGAAATACGAATCCATTTCTCTGGGGCGGAACTCAAAATCACACCATTATGTACAACACTGTAATTTCCAGTGATCGTTTTGTGTGATAGTACCCTTGATTAATCTGCCGCCCACCTTAAAAGCCTGATAAATACAATAACGGCTGCACAAGAGGTGGCTGATTAAAGCATGAGAATAATCTAATAATTTGCGTCAACATTTTGTTGGGTGACTACAAAGCGTTCTACTCAAAACGAAGCTACATAGCAAGAATATTTTTCTCTGCTACTAATAATACATAGACAGTAGTGCAGAAACAATGGGCTTTCATAAACTATCGCTTACATTTAAGCATGGAATCAACATTGTATCCATCAGCTGCACCACATTGTATTATAGTGAATCTGTGAGATGCTAATGCCTGAACTGCCTTTCTACATTATTTTTACCTCCGTTTTGTCAGCTGTCACTCGTGACCCTATCACTGGCCTGGGTGCGAAATCGGTCGATGAAGTCGAAGGGCGAATAAGATCCCGCTCACACTCGTCGACAGGAAGAGGTATGCATATTTTTACTACCCAAATGGTATTGTCTGAATATACTTGTTGATGTGTGCCTGTAAGCTGATCCTCCTTCTGACCCAATCGACAGAACACTCCATAAAAATTGGTTGCAACACACGATAGACATTACCTTGCTGTTCATGTTGTTGGAGATTATCATTACTATGGGCAAAATTTCTCCCTCCTGTCTGTGACCGTTCGTCCATCCGGGGTCTATTTTTCTGCAGCGCATCTTCTCAGTGAGTGATAACAGGCCCATACGAGTGTATTAGACTGCTGCGGAAGGAAACGAATGTGAGCCAAGGGAGGAAAGCCAGCGCATTTATTTCGTAAAGTCGTTGATTTTCTCCATCACCATAATGGCATTAAGCATTCTTTAGGTTTTTGGCGTCACCTACAAGCAACGCTACGTTGTACAATCTGTGTCGTAGTTATTCCAACACGTCAGTTAGAGATAGCGGGACTGGATCTCGAATCCTGAACTTTTATGGTGACCAGAATGAGATTGCGCGTTGCCATCCATTCACACAACTGATGCTTAAAGTACTAGCAATGATCTTTTAAATTATTTAGTTTTAATGATTGCTTGGATACGCTGTCCTTGCTGTGGCGGTATGTCTTCCTAAGTTTTCCAAGCATCAGAATAGATTGTTACCAGTTGAATGCAGTCAGTTGTGCGGGGGTGCCTTGTGTTTTGAACAACACCTAACACCACGCGAGGCAAATGGCTCGTTATAATTTTACTGCGTATTCTACATTATCTTGACATATGTGACCCTACTAGTTTATTGATATAGTCTCATCCCTATGATTGGAAATAGCCATTTTAGAAAAAGTGGAAACGCATTACAATGCGGAAAAATAAGCGGCTGATTCAAGGGTAACTAAGCTCGGCTAACACTTTTATTGGAAGTCAAGGATGTATTGACGACGTTCTGCGAATCCAGTTTAACGTCGTCAGGTATAAGAGGGCAAAAATAAGGCGTTATTACCGATCCTGCCTTGGTTCTGTAACCATGATTTCAGTATCTGTATGTTTATTAATCCTTTATGCATTAAGCATCTTGCCTTTGTACTGTTTACTTTACAGCCTACAATCACACATTTATTTCATGGAATATAGACTCAGATGCCGCTGCGACCAAGTTGGCCCAATGCAAACGAAGTAAGTGGCGCTAATCTCGTATGTGAAAATTGGTGACAACAGCCGTTCGTATCCTACTGTCGTGTATACCTGGAAGTAAGCTAAGAGTCATGCTAACTCAAATTTGAGGATGATGTAGGCACTTAAACATAAATGCCACCTTTCATTTCATCAAGCAAAAGCTTTTGGATGGGGTGATGACGAAATTGTTTATGAAATAGGAACGCTTGCTGAAATTCAGCTGAATTAATATGAATGCAAAAATCGCCGTCGTCGCCTACTAAACGACTGTCATTTTGGTGGAACCACGCACCATCTCAGCACAGACCGCCTTGTCACTGTACACATCGTCAAAACAACAGTCGGCTACACGTGAGAGATTGACTAAGGAAGCGAAATTAAACTGTCCTGCGGCATAACTACTCACGAGAAACTGCAAGCACAAATTAGAAATAGTACTGTTGGATCTTGGAGTATCCACCATGTGTCTTGGATTGTAACGCGTAATCATAATTGCGGCCTCGATTACCTTGGAAGCCGGCCTCTACCGTTCCGAGCAATGGGATCATATCTGAAGTGGTGGGTTTCTGCGTTACTCTCTCCGAGCCCGGCACGCCACAACCGAGGGTTTTGTTCTGATTTGGGCTCACCAAGTAGAGATAGTTGAGCTGGGTGTGGAACCCGGCACCTTATGAGTGGCGACTATCGCCATGATCACTAGACCATTGAACTCCGCGAAGAGAGTTGCTTTTCGGGTTTTGGAGCAACCACCGTGCTTTGTATTTCAACACGCAATCTCAGTTGTGGCTTAGGTTGCCTTTGAAGCCAGCCTGTGCCTCTCCGTTCACTGGGACCGTATCCGAAGTGGAGAGATTCAGGGCTCCACTCTCCACTACGGATGAGGACTGGTTCCGGGTAAATGTATAAGGCAATGTGTAGGGAAGTGCTTATCCTAAGCAACGTCTGTGGTGTTCAAGTTAGTGGGTTTCCGGACTAACAACTCTGCATAACACCATAGATTACCCAAATTGCAAAGTTGCTGGGGGAAGAAAGCATTCATGTAGCAGTGTCTTTGTATGGAAAGATGTTATTTCGATAACTAGTAGGCTTTTTCAGTCATCTGAATATACCATCAAAAAACTTCAACGTAAACCCGATGGTTTACATTATTTTGCCAACTAATAGAAGCTTTAGCTGTTGCCGCACTTTTCGACAACCCTACAAGGCGACATTTGAACTAGTACACTGACTAGTTAATATAGTACAATTGGTCATAAGTAATCTCGGTATCCACTGGAAAAGCGATGTGCTAAGTGGTGTCTCAAAAAAATCTACAGTAAGCTATGCAAATTGCTATTTAGTGCAACAGATGATGTAGGCTGATTGTATTTTTGGCCGTTATTTGAGTGAGACGTGCAACTCCGTTCTTCCGCATCGATTGAGCTGGTTGATAAATGCGGTTCTCATTCTCCTGTTTCGGAATGCATTTATCTGTCTACACTCGGTCGGCACGTAAACTGAAGTCAATACATACGGCAAGAATATACGCATAACACTTAGTAACCTAATTACGCGAAGCGGACAAACGATTCAGCTTTCTGTACTAAGCAGTGTTGCGCCCTTCGAATTTACTTGTTAATGCTTCCTGAACTGCATCCCACTTAGAGGTACGTCATGTTCAATACAATGGAAAAAGTCCATCATAAGCATCTAAAACAATACTAGTCTTCCATTACGTGAACTAAAACAGTGAATATACATAAAGTAATCAGCAGTATGAGGTAGACTTTATCATAACTGATATAAGCTTGATGTGCCAGATGAAAGCCCTTTTTCAGATAGATGTAGGTGAGCACAAAAATAAACCATGTGTGTGTATGTGTGCAATTGCTCCGGATTGAGCGCAAACGTCAACGGTATTTAGAAATCGCTGCACATTTTTCCTATGGCTTTTATGTCCCTCATTAAATGGTCTTTCCTTATCCTGCTCAGGATAACAGCGATTACTCAGTCGTTAGGAGAGAAGAAATTCGAAGCATCTAGCAGAATTTATTGATTTATATTTACACGTCTGTACAACATAGTAGTAGTGGCAGATATTGATTGTTTATGGACACGGTCTCCAAGTATGTGGCAAAGCCGTATGGTTTCATTCGATTCGCATTCCACCGGCTTATTGAGTCAAAGTGGTTGCATTAGGGCGAATAGATAAGAACACACGGGCGCTGACGTGTCGTGCACATTGTGCCTAATCGCTGTGGTCCATGTCACCTCAGTCTCCAAAATCACAGCATATAATCCTCGTTATGTCTTTCGCGTTCCGATCTTTCCACCTGCTTATGACTGAAGGACTCATTCTTTCTCTCAAGTAGTTATTGCCCTTCTGCATTGGTGTGCAGTGATTTGGTCACATAGACAATGATTCACAGGTCAGAAAGGTAAAATACCAATGTCAGACTGGACGTTAAAGTGTACGTTTGACTGTTTACCTAGCATGGACACACAATGCGCAGTCGCGTTGCATTGCACACATTCCTAGCCTGTGATTTGCAACGGTGACTAATTCCAATTTCGACCGCCTTCTTTCTGACACCATGAACAAGGTGTAAATGAATGTCAGGTGGCAAGCCGGGAACAATACCCCAACTTCTACTGGGTGGTCGTAACAGTTAGTTACTTTAGCGCAAGCAGCCCAATACAAACTGGACGGCTGTGGTACGGAATGTTATGACTATTCCTAAAAACAAGAATATGAAAGTTTATCACACTTGATATTCGCATATCATTTTCTAAAACGGTTAAGCGGTTTTCAATAGTCTAACCCAAAATGGATTTTACAAACTTAACACATCCCTGATCAGTGGTTATTTATTGGCCTTGGTACATTCATTGCGCACGTCTAGTTCACAGTAAACGCCCTGCATTCATGAAGAATCCACTCGTAATGTCTACAAGGGTCATTGGGTAAATCTGTTTGTTGCACGTCTTTTGTGGATGTGTTAATCTCTCATCTACCAGGCATATTTTAGTAGAGAAAGTCGGACTAGTTTAGCTTGCTTTTGCCTTAAGCAAAGAAGAATGAATAACGCTGTGCGCTACTCATCTGAACAACGGAGGAAAACCACACGGATCAAGGGAATTAGGGACAACCACCTAGCCTATATGCCAGGTTCAACAGGGTCATAGGGACTTGAATTTCCGTGTGGCCTTCATCAGTTTTTCTTTGAACTCGTCTTGAGTCTTGCCCGAAATTTCAAACTTATACCTGGTCGACACTGCACCAAATGACGATCGTAGAGCGAACAGTACACATGTATTTAGGACTACAATTGTACGCAGTAATCTGGGACGCTAACTAATGACATTGCAACTTACGCCACGTTATAAAACATGACGCGGTGATTTGGCGCCAAACCACTATGAACGGCCAATTCTTACCCTAGGGTTTCACAGACCTCGCGGGGCGTTTGTTAGGCGAGCATATATTCAACCCGAAACGAAATTGCCGGTACTTCGGATGAGATTTCAATGCTGGAATGGCAGTCCACACCGCAGAAAATCATGGCCTCTGGGCATCACAAACTTAGGGCTGCCTAGCCGCTGCCGCAGGCCTCCACTTAGTAGTTCGTGATCTCGTTTGGAAAGCTGCTCAGGCATACCTAAGTAGTAGATTTCGATTCCAGATCCCACTGCAGCTACCTAAGGAGGGAAACAATGACAGAACGAGCCGTGGAATGATGTGTTGGAAACCACCATCGTTCAAATTGCATCATTTTTATTGAAAGTGTTTCTGGGCTAATGCGAACTCGGTATGTACCACAAAATAGTTTCAGTAAATTTGTCCTTATAGTGTGATTAGCGCGCTTATGATTTCGTAACCTACTTCATGAGGTTCTTCCTGTCTGTTCAATGTCACGTCGAACTGATTCACTTAATATTATATATCACATATAGGTTTAGTATGATAAATTTTACAGTACAGGAACCTCCTCTAAATGATCATTCATACCGGTGTCTTTAATTCTAGTTCAAGTGACGAAAAATTGTGTGAGCATGCGGAATTACCAATAGCATAATTTGAGCCTTGGAATGACCAGTTAATTTCTCACCGTGTACAATTTGCTGCTGTAAGGCTCGTAATGTACAAGAAAAATCCGGAGAGATCATGGTTAGCCCTGGAAGACTATTTGAGGTATGGTAACAGCAAAATTACGACAAGGTGAACTAAAATACATCAAGATATTAAGTATACTACGAGTCAGCAACTAGTAAATATTGCAACCTGTGAATTGGGTCAACGGAAACAAAAAATAGATATTCCTCTGAACGTATATCTTGGTAAGGCAATAAACACATATTGTTATTTGTAAAGTAAATTTGAATACAACTTGAACTACTTTGGTTGTTAGGGGAAGCATCATGCAAGCAATGTAATATAACGAAGAACGGATGGATTTTATTGTTTTGTAGAAAACGCGCGCAACCCAATCACTATGACGGGCGACCTGGGTGACGAAGTGGACAAGTTCCGATCCACCAATCGACCTCGAGGCGCGACACTACGTGAACGTAAGTCCATACATCATACACCAGCTGTTGCATGTGGCCAGAATAATGCACCTAACCATCTATGATAAGCGGAAGTTACGGAGAACCAGTGCCAGTTTACGCTCAGCATGTGGCTATAAGGTTATCTCATAACGAGTATTGAAAGCTCCCTAGCGATTTGAGGAAATGTTGCAGCGCTAAGCTCATCGATGTGAACACTTCGTTTAAATCGGGAGATCCAAGAACTTTGCATATCAAACCGTGACTTATGATGTTAACCTCGTCATAAATTCATCCATAATGGAAAACCTTTTGAAAAGACCTAGTTGGAAATCAGATTGTTCGAATTTAATAAGCAATAATAATCGCAAATCAGCAGATATCTGGACATCTAACTTTTATTTACTAGCCAAGTGATCTCGATCTACGTAAGTGTCGAAACGATTTACGTTCAGATAATGTATTGTGACCGAATTCCATAGCGAAACTCCCAAACAGCGTCTCAGTCGCCATAGACAACAGCAACATCCTTAGTTACTGCATTTCCAAAACAGAGTCCCACAGGATGTAAATAAATGAATATTATCAAGTGCCATTTGGAGTGAATAAATTGGACAGTGTCGAGCGGACGGCCTATGCACACCTTGCATTTTTCTGCTCGTGACACATTTATGTCAGAATCCCGCTCGATATAAACGGGTCGAGGACATCGGCGAATATCGATTGTATACTGAGAACAACAACAACAACAACAACAACAACAACAACAACAACAACAACAACAACAACAATAACAGACTGTGTGTCATGTTGATTAATGGAGTGAGTCAGTTTTGCTTGAGTCTAGGGACCAATCGATCTTGGAAGTCGAGCAAAGAGGGAAGTAGGTCGGAGTGTCGGTTAGTGTCGTGCTTAGCTGCGGTTGATGCGATTCAGGTTAAACAAAGATTAATCATGCATAAAGTGTTCTCAAACAACCTACCATGTGTGTGAGAAGCGTTGCGACTGTATTTCATTTAATTGTAGCGACAGGTAATCGTGTTCTATCTCTTGTTCCTCTCTGGAATACTTGCAGCAAAGCGAAGCTTCTATCGTTAATTTTATTCGGAATTTCAAGCACAAATCAAACTAATCTTTATGAACCGGAATGGGTTTATTTTCGGTATTAACATCAATGCTGTGTATGTAATGAAAGTTGATAGAAATAATATATATAGGTGAGGAGAAAAATAATAGATGTAGACAATTGTTATTGTAACAACAGCTAGTGAAGCACGTTTACGACTTTTTGCGCCATCGAACAAACGGGTCAATCGATTCTCCCCAAACCACTTTGAACTCATGACTTCTGGACAGGTTCCAACAAGATTCCATGCTTTTGAAGGTATGATGGTGTTCGAGCTGATAGATGTGGGGAAAACACAAGGTTATATTATGACTACGTAAAAAGGATAGCGTTTTCGGAAACTGGGTGCACAGTGGATGAAGTCGCTTGTTTAGGAATGTAGGGGAAAATCTTTTCACGGATATCAGGATGCCTAGGATTTTTCAAGTCAACTGGCAAAATTCTAAACAAATGGCCGCATCTTGAAATGTGTCTTATCGGTCGTACAACTAAGACGTAATATCTTTAAGGCCATCCAGGGAAGGTGACAGGGCAATAGTATAACCCATAAGGGATAATTCTTAAACTCACTAATTAACAGTTAAACTATGGGCTATTGAAGTTACAAGGCTAACAATATAAAAACCTTTTTCGACTTTATGAAGTTTCACATACGTGTGTGGACCAAGTAAGGTTTTGTGACAAAAACACCGTGGATGATCTAGGTGTGAGATTTTCGTTTACAGTAAGGGAGGGGAGAGGATGCAAACTATCTCCACGAAGAAAAGAAAATATTGCTTTTTTGGATGCGTTAAAGTTAAGGGATCTGGATGAAGACCACACCACCATATTTTTCAATCCACGTTGAAATGATGTGGGATCTTGAATAGCGGTGGCCACACATCCCCGAACATGTCCAGAATTTCTGTTCTCTATACACGTGGTTTGTATAGAGAGGAGTGCAACATATGAAGAAAATAGAAAGGTGTTATGATCCTTCCCTGCAGTACATCATAGTTGGAACAGCGGAATACTTACTGTTTAATTTTTGAATTGGGTCCGATTCCTTAAAATGTCACGCAACGGACTACACACACCGAGGTGGACTCCTCAGAAAGCAGCTTGGGTAGCAGTTATCTATTCAGGCTTCCGAGGGCTTTTGAATAATCAACGGAAAGAAGTTATATGGTTTTTCATCTTTGATGTATTGCAGATGCTGTAGAATGAACTAGGTGTTCTACCGGATCCAATGTTGACTACTGAGATCTATAAGCGAATTGATGAATTTTGTTAGCATAGGGGGCTGATTTTCGAAAAATTTCCACAGCCCAAATGTAGTGCAATCGCCCGATACTTAACAGATCCATTTTTGAGAAAAAAATTTATTCTGACCGATCTTCAAAGTACGAGATCTTACCCATAATGAGGCATTTGTTGAAGATACCTGTCATAAGTGGGAGAATCGGCACAATCAAAACTGCTGGTGAGAGAACATGCAAAGCAATAGCTTTGGTCGATTTTAATGCTTTGAGTTTGTTTTGTGAGCATCGCATTAGTCAACGGTGCAGGTTGGACTTGAACTGTTGAATGGGGTCAAGGAGGAAGCGCTTGCAGGGGCAGAGCTAAACCCAGCATTTAGTTTGTCCACATTAATTCCCCAACTCTGGTTGAAGACGCTGTTACCACAGAACTGCCTCAAAAGATTCCATAGATTAAGACATTTACTTTTACCCAAAATCGTTTCTGCATAAATTGTGTAGCCTATTTATCGCAGACTTGGTTGCCGAGGTTAAGCTTTTGACGCGAAAGCTATCATTGTTAGGTAAGTGCTAATTTTGACTTTAGAAGGCAACAATTGATCAGGTTGTGTTGGTTCGGAGCGAGTATGGCCATAGTGAAGTAAACACAAACGCAATGAGCACTTGCTCAATGTTTTGTTGCCTAAATTCCTGGAAAACAAGACCACTTACTCTCTCACCTAGTAATACCCGGGCGTCCTTCAGATGGCTGTTGTCTGAAATAGGTGTAACTCATCCCAGTCCAACTTGTATCGGGGCTGATTCTGCACGTTAACATGTACTTGCAGCAGATATTGTAGTTCATATGCGATGGAAATTGTTGGGGTTCACCTGCTGTGACGCCCTGAGTGATTCATCAGTACGTAAATCCTTCAAGGAAATGCATATAAATTTTCCTGAACGCTGGACTGTCGATAGAGATTCCTATCGACAGATCTCTGTAGTACTACGGCTGTTTTCGCGTGTTTGGATCGTTCTTATGCGAGGAAGACTGGCTTAAACAAATTCAAACAATCGTATCTCACTGCTTACTTGAGAGGCTGTGCGTATTCCCTGATGTAGTGCTTAGCTTGGATCAATAGGACAGGGGCAATAACGCTCGAAATTCTTAAAAGTAAGTGGAACTTCGCTGTCTGTTCGCAGATTTGGAAGAGCATTTAGTGTCAGGTAGTTCAGATCCATGGGAAAAATGAGTTAGTTGATGTTTGGCTGAGCGTTCCAACTCTAACTTTCATTTGAAGAAAGCCACAAGCGTATAACACACTAATTTGTCCAGTAGTTATTTCTTTGGTCCTATTCATTCCATGTTCCATTGAATCTTTTTCGTAGCCCAAAGGAATCCAATCTCAGGGCAAGGAAATTTTGGTGAAAGAGAATGGGATCCAGTTTGGAAGTATAACGGAAAAATTCGTCGCTCCAAGAGCAGCACAAGTGAGCTCATTTGAAACGATTTTCTATGCACATCTAATCAAAGGATAGCTAGAAGTTTAAATTATCGGGTGTTTCATCATTTGGCCTAGCCCCTCAAAAAATTCATACCAGTCACCTATAGCGTTTTTCTGATTTAGCAGCAAGAAATTCATAAACACTAGGCTGAAAGTTTTGATCGCTCTAATTAAACTAAATTGAGGTGGGCAAATCGTAGGCATATTGCTAGCTTTGAATTAATTACCTAACTTTAGTGGTTCTACGTTTGGTCACACCGAATGTAATGACTTAGGCAGAGCTCAAGCTCTTAAAACTGTTGCCTTATCAAGGAAGACCAAGGATGTGGGGCCCCTCTTTTCCACAAAGATAAACACTCGGGATCGAGACACAAACCATGATATATCACGAGCAATGTGGGAAATTTGAGTGTCTAAGTCTGTGGTAATTTTTTCACAGGTTGGTAAATGTTCGTCCTTGTAGTCTCTGTACTTGAGTACCTGACACAGACACACTTGCGTTTAAAACGATTAAACAAAGCAGTCATATGGCTTGATTCGCCACATGCAGTTTGATAAAGACGCGCGACCAGGTTGGCAATCGTGAATGGTGGAAGTCAGATCCTGCTGGATAAATTTTTGCAGTGTGTTATGTCAAAGCAAGACAGGTATGAGAATAAGCCAGCGCTAGGACTGCTTTACGAAGCAGTACAGGCTGTTGGACTATGTTTCTGAACTGAACTAATAATTTGATAGTAGCAAGCAGTAGTATATATTGCAGATCGACAGAATGTCGATGAACATGTAGGTCATTTGTGTGTACTTTAAGACCATTGCGATGGGTGTTACACGAACATGGTGTTCTGCGTTGGTGCTATGCAGTCTGGTAAATAAAAGAGCTGGATTTCAGCTAGAGCAAAACATACCAAGGAGAAACGAATTTGAATGATTAGTTAGTCTGACGGTCATCGTTGTTAGCCACAATTGACTGGAATCAGCTATCTGTTCCGTAAGTGCAGACGGATCTCATTCCGATGGATACTTTGTTCCTCGATGTTTACTAACCAACGCCAGCAGCCAACCAGTTCAAGCGGGGTGCCGGCTTCTTAAGCAGTCCCGTTTTTGACAGCAAGCAATAATGAAGCACCACTGAGACGATCCATCTACTTATTTCTTTGCGTCTCTGGTCACATAACCAGTGTGCAGCCCACAGTTTAAGCTGTTGCATGGTAGATGCACATTCCGGACTTTACTTCCTCCTGTTTTCAGTGGGCGAAACGGTTCCCGCAAGCACAACGCACGCATAGACTGTCGGATATTGTAACGCTGGTTTCGTTGAATTCTCGAGTAACCCCACTAATCACCGTTTAGGTTTTCTTTTACATGTGTACCCCACTTGAATCTACCGAAAATATGAAACCGGAAACTAGTACCAATTAGGAAGGAAAGGAATTGTGAGATTAGAAAACGCAACTTAAGAAAAAGTATGTGGCAGCCGAACAACGAATAGAATAAGATGCTTTACCGCATTCCCTGAATACTACGGGTTAAAAAGGGCTAATCTATATCAAAAAAGCCTCATACCATCCATGAGAGCCATTAAAGAACCCTTAGGTACCGTAACAGTGGGTCAATTCCGATGGAGCTTCTTCACTAACGTCTGAATTGTCTCTATCGTTCTGGCATGTCGCCATTAGCATAGTCCTTCTGATCCACCTGTAGCTCACTTACTACCAACTAACTAGCTGCAGACGTGCTCTGAAGCTGCCACCTCGATTAGTGACGAAACGTCTGCAACTAAATTGCTCAGGTAAGCCAGCAAATCACCGCAATTACCAACCTGACCTTTGTTACTACAAATTGTAAACTCCACTAAATTATTTAAAAGACTGACCACCATTGCATTGCAGAACAATGCAGTTGAAAAAATGAATAGCCGTTAGTATGACGGGACAAGTCGTTTCGAACGATTTTAGTAATTTCGAGACCGAAGCAATAGGGAATTTCGATTGAACTTCCTTGATGCCTGAGATAACTGATGACTGTAGATATCCCTGTCTCAGAATAAAACTCACAAGCCGAGATGGGCCAGCCAAAGTCTAATTTGCTGCCTAGGCGTGCATCTACCCCAGTCCGTTGATTGGTATCTACGTGCTCTTAACACTGCTCTGTACAATTAGCGCACACAGATCCTGTGTACGATGGTAGGTTGCAATGGATAGGTTGTGCAGCAGCTGATGATGCGCCTCAGTCTACAAAACCACATGGGTCATGCACAATCTACATCCTGCAACCTGGTCAGAGTGTTTAGCCAGTATCTATTGGAACTGGACGGTTTGGTGATTACGTCTTCCTGGAGTTGCAGCCAAAAATACGTTAGTTGTAAATATTCGAGAATGCGACAACTGCCGACGTTATCTTGGAAAAAAGACAGGTTGTGCTGTCTTTCAAGATAACTAGATTCGCTTGGACAATTTGCCACCTTTTTCTGCAGCTAAATCAACGCTTAAAGGATCTTAGAAAGAATTAGTATTGATTGTATTCACTGAAGCTCGCTAACGTACTGAATTCTGATGAGTAATTTTCATAGCCTGTATGGATTGAAGTAAATTCAGCCTACATTCCTGATGCGTTCTGGAACTTGTACGAAGATGGCCGACCAAAAAGCATGCTCCAGGATTGAACAGCGGTCAGTTATCAAGTTTTTGGTTGCAGAAGAGTACAAACCAATTGAAATTCATAGGAGAATGTCAACTGTGTATGGTACCACATGTTTCAGCCGAAAAATGTCTACAAGTGGGCAAAATTGTTTAAAGAAAGACGGAGCAGTGTTGAGGATGAAGACAGACCTGGGAGGCCTACAGAAGGGAGGTCTCCTGAGGTGATCTAATCCGTCAATGACCTCATTCAGTCGGACAGAAGGGTGACAGTGGATGACATGGACAATTTTGTGCGCCGCCCCAACAGATAAGCTCAAAGTCCTTGCAATGATGTGTCAGCGTTAACTGTCCGGACGGAATTTTTCATTACACCAAACACAGTCAGTTGTCGAAAAGGTGAACTCCGGCCCGAAAATTTTTAATTCATCGCTCGGAAGTTGATGATATGAAATGTCCTGGTTTCGTGTAAGATTACGAGTTGTAGCAACGTTTATTATCCGTCTAACATTATTTAAGTAGTTATCACACTCAATCGCAACGTAGTACGGCTGCTTCAGTCGCGCCCGTCCGAAGAATACTAGCATCCAAAGCTTATCGGACTTCGCTTGCTTGGGTACATTGGTGCCTTCTGGCTGGGAGCAACCCTAGAGTGTGCGTCGTCAAGTTGGGGTCAGGAGAAGACGTAATATATGCTGAGAACGCCGAATCAGCTTTGGGCAGTGGTGAGTTATATGAATTATTCATATTATATATTCGAACCAAGCACCAAATTATGAACTCCATTTAACTTGGTTCCTTGCAACTGGTTTTTAGACATCCGCAGTAACCCATTGACTGGTCAGAATGTGAAGTCCTTTGAAGTCATGTTCGAGGAGAAGCCAAGAGCATCGAAAAGACATGAAGAGAAAAACAGTAAGTTGGTGCAAACAGTCTCACGTAACCTGGAGCCCAAATTTGTTCAAATAGGATGTATATGTCCGTCTGGCGCATTGGAATTTATGGGGAGTAAAGTCAAAGTAGTCACAGCGCTTTAGGTTGGCAGAATATTGTGGCTTGTCTGAATTGTTGGAGGTATGAACTGAATTAAAATGAACTGTATATAAACGGCGGAAAAACGAGCGCCGGATTTGTTTTGGGTATCTTGCTTAGCAGACTAAGCCCATACAAAGTAACTCAGCTTTTTGGTAACTGGTGTAATTTGGAAGTTTTGTTTGTGTTTCCCCCTACACCCATGTCACAGAAAATGACCCAGAGAGTAGTATGGCCCTACTAAGTTCTACAAATAAATAGATCGTCACAAGTGCCACTCTTAGATGGGATCTTTATTAAAACATGCTATTACCGGTAATGGCTATGGTTACAAGGGTTTTGGCAATCCACCGCTACGTCGAAAGAAAGCACCAAACGATAGTGTCAAGTTATTACCATTGTTTGCAGAATTAGTACATGTCGATCAAGCTTTTAAGATGCGATCAATAGGCACTCCCCTTTCCAGTATTTAATCATTGTACGCCCTTCGTTTATGCCCCACTGACTGTTTAGTGGTGCTTTCAGTAAATTTGATAGCTGTTTTATTTAAATTGAAGCTGCTTGTTATCTCCGCCTACTAGTTTATAACAAGTAGGCATTAACAAATATAAACTGGATGTTGCTGCTGCTGTCCCGAACGCTTGTTACTGTAACCTAACTTGGAACTTCAAAACAAAATCAAAATGTCAGAGGAATATGATCACTAAAAGGCGCCACATAGCTGCATTTATCTAATTAGTAACACAACTTCGTTTATTTAACACGGATATTGTCCATTTTTGATCATTTCCTACAAAGAACCTCAACGAAACGCTCTGACCGGCGCTAACTGCACCAGCTATTCGGTCCCACCTGGCATGAAGGAAACACATACAAGCCAACACAGCCGTGAGTATTTTGATGTAATCCGTTGCACTGAGTTGTCAACAGGAAACCCGTTTATGCCTGTCGCAAATTCACGAGTGTAGCTTCAATCCTAAGAGCATACAACCGACGCATGCATCATCAAAAGACGTGATGTTTATTGTCCAACATTCCAGGATGCACACGACCATTAGGTCGTTTCGTATTTTCCGATGATCACCGCTTGCTTAGGTTGGGACAAGTAATGTTGTAGCAAGAACGAGGCCGTAGGGATGCACAGTCTTTATTGCTAACAAACAACGAGTTCACAGGTCAACACGCACGCGCGAGTATAAAGGACACTTCAAGCCCACCATGCACAACACATTATCTTTTCATTCGGTATAACATGCATGCCCCAAGTACAGCCAATCCGACAGGTCATTTTACACCGACTTACCCTCGTATCTTAGCTTCCGCCAGTTGTATTCTGACAAGGATGAATTCGTTCTAGTGCTCTTCACTTGCTTACTCGGGGTGGCAGCGCTCTCCTTGGGGTTATTCCTGGCGGCGTGGCCAAAAGCATATCCCTCCGGAAAATCTAGTCCTCCATTACCATGTCCTCCGCTCTATTCGGCCTGGGCCTGATATTGTTTATGGTTTGTGGACCGTTTTCCGCTTGTTCCATAGGCCTCTTCACCTTCGTCATCGTTAGTTTTCCTCTTCCTTTCTTCCCTTGGCTTGTTTGTTCCACCGGTGATACATGCCTTCCGCGCCACTACAACCACTCCATCTCGATATGTGGTTGCCTTATACGCCTTGGTCGTAGGAGAGCTGTTTTCAGCCAGCGTTTCGCTATCATGTTGTCGATTCTGTAGTTCACACTTTTTCAGTTCATTATGGTGTAGGGACCTTCCTACCACTGGTTGCAATTGTTCGCATCTAGTTCTCGATGGGCCGGTGGGTTATTATTGCGTAGTCTTGCTTGGTCTCCTAGGCTGAATGGGTTTCATTTGTTTGCCGCGTATCGCGTCATAGTTCCGCTTATTCAGTACTTGTCGAACCTTTGTTCTACCTCACACGGTTGTTTGCAGTCTTCCGTGTTACACTGCCGAGTGTTCGCACCCACGACTTACATATGGAGTGCTGTTCTCGGCTCTTGCCAAAATTGCAGTTCTAAGGGCGAAATCTTGGTGCTTGACTGTATGCTGGTTTGATAAGCTAGTAGTGCTTCTGGCGGTGCTGCCTCCCATGCCTGTGTTGTACAGTCCATCCGTCTTCATACCGGTTAATCCGTTCTGTCATCTCATTGGTCTGCGGGTGGTATGGTGAAGTGCATCGTCTTTGGATGTCCTATTTCGCTAATACTGCTCGGAACGCTTTTGACTCAAAGCACGGATCTTTGTCTTTGATGGCGTAATGCAGTCTCCAACACCTTGCCGGTAGGTTGAATTCGAAGGCCGGTACCACGGCCTCGCCTGTCTGGCATTTAATAGGTATGCGTTCGATCCGGCGGGTGAAATGCTGAATCATCACAAGAATGTAAGCTTTGCTTGCTCGACCCCAACTAAAGGATTATTGTGGACTGTGACTGGCGGTAAAGTAATTTTTCGTACAGTTTCTTTAATGATGCCATTTATAGAAGCTGCGTTTTGTGAGTTGCTTGTTGCTGTCATTAGACTCGTGGGCCAGTTTGTTTTCTTCTCGTATTCTCTACATGAGTTCCGCCCGCAAGTGAATGGAACGTGGGACTTAGCGGTTAATGGCTGACGCCTACATTACTAGAGAATCAAGCTGCATTGGCAGCATTAGTCACAACAGGAATAAATAGGTTCCTCTTTTGTAAGCTGATACACAATCCTCTCTAATGAGGCGTTCAAATAAAAACAAAAATGTTCATCCAATACAGTGTTCTAGGTGAACAGCGTATAAATATAACTATCAGCACTAGCTATTATTAGTTGAGAAAACAAGGTTCAAGGATTTCTAATTGGATCGAAATGATAAATAAGTAAACGTGCGGTTCGCAGTATCTGACTAGATACTCGCTTTTTCTGAGAACGCTTTGTCATTTCTTAGTGATAAAACAAAAATTCTGACTTTGTTTTTTTACCTGAACTGGGAAGAACGTGTGTGGACACTCCCTTAATTGCATTCCAATGTACAAAGTACGATGGCGCACAGCCTCATTGATCTGAATGTTATCGCCCAACAGTACTAATGGTCTTGATGGTCATAAACATCCCTTGTGCACGGTTACACATTCGGTATCGCCATTACAAACTCTAGTGTTTGTGGACGTTAGACACGTTCACCCATATACGCTTCATAACGGTTGGCCTGGTAAGTCAAAGGAAAGAAGTGCACTGACGCCTCAGGTTAGCACTCTTTACTCGTCAGCTGTGTTGAAGATTTATGTTATAGCAACGCGAATCATAGCCGGATGTTTAAACAACGTAGTGTTATGTTGCTGTGGTTCTAGGATACAACTGAAAGAAATTGTTCAATGTTTACTAATGTTGTTATGAATCATACTTTACTAAGTCTTCAGGGTGTCCGTCAGTTTGAACCTGTCGAACGGGTGGGGGAAGAATAGTTCAGTAGGCATCGACTGTGCTACCGTAAGTTTAATATGTATCCTTCATGAACCATTCTTGTTTAAGTACGCACTTCATTTGTGAATGCTCTAGAAGATGGAATTGCAGTTGAGTTCCGTACAGCTCCATTCATCCAAACGACTAAGATTCGGGCAGCGAAGTGCGCTGGATCCAGTTACCGTGAATCTCATCGCCACGGTGACAATGAGCAACGATGGTGAAAAAGTAGGTAGAACACAGACGAAATGCAAAGAAAAGAGGTTAAGAAAGACGTGAGAAAATTTATTCGGGATGGAGTAGTGTCCAGCAAATGCAAAAAAGCGATTGCAAAAGCAACACTGACTGTGCGACTGCGTCGTGTTCGATAGGGTATCACATTTTTGATGGGGCCCATCTCTAGACTGCCCATCCAAGAAGATTACATGAACTAGCCTGACTAAGCCTTTCGGATAATAAGCGGAAAACTTTAGCCACATCATCGACTGACTATCACGGCTGGACTCTAACCGCAAGTACGTATTTTAACTAGTAGTAAATAAGCAAGAAGACGCGTCAGTCTGGCACGCAGTATACTGAACACTTAACGGTTTACATGTGAACACGGAAGGTTAGGGTGTGTCCTTGAGTGCGTGTGTGCGTGCTTATCTACGTGTGTGTGTGGGGCCAATCACGTTCACGGTCATAGTGAGCGATCATTGGTTGAACACGTAACAGTCCTCCCTGTTTTGGCTGACGTTACAGTCATGGCTGAAAACGTTCGATCGGTTTGCGAATCCGGGTCGATCGGCGTAATTGAGTTTCCCCTGTTGTTCTGTGTTCGTCGTGCTCTGTAGCTTGCTCTGCGATCTCCGAGTGTGACTGACTCACGGCAGGTGTGTCAGTGCTCCTGGGGCGTACATGATCTGAGTGCCGGCGAACAACCCGGCCGTCCGGAAGCTGCAAATCGTTTTGACTTCCTGAAGAATCGAGCACAGTCGCCGGCTGCCAACATTGTTCATGCGGTAACTTGGTGTAAACAGGTTGATGGTCCTGAAATGTAACTTCCGGCTTTGATTCCTCTGAAGACACAAACTTTTTCTGACGCTCCTGTACTTCAACACGCGGGTTCGGGAACAACAAATGAAGCCTCGTTCTCAGATTTTTGCCGAACATCAATTGCGTCGGGGATTTCCCGGTAGCCTCAGTGGGTGTAGAACGGTAGGAGAATAGGAACCGATCCAGTTTTGTTCGCAATGTTCCCGTTCGCTGCTTTAGTAAGCCTTGTTTCACAGTTTGTACTGCACGCTCCGCTAATCCGTTTGATGCTGGGTGATACGGGGCTGACTTAACGTGTTGGATTCCGTTGTTGGCGACAAATTTACCAAATTCGGCACTGGTAAAAGGCGAACCATTGTCTGTATAAATGGTTTCCGGAATGCCAAACGTAGCGAAGGACGAGCGCATTTTAGTGATGGTGGATTCGGCTGTAGCCTGAGTAACTGGATGTACGTCAATCCACTTAGAATGTGCATCAATAAGTAGAAGAAACATGGTCCCGTCGATCGGTCCGAAGTAGTCGGCGTGGATACGCTGCCAGGGCTTGTCGGGCCAACACCAAGGGTGTATTGGGCCTCGCGCCTTGCTCTGCTGCTACGCCTGACAAATATCGCAATTCTTCAGTAAGTTCTCTGTGTCTGAGTCGATGTTCGGCCACCAGCAGTACCCTCTCGCTAGTGCCTTCATCCTCGCCACAACTGGATGAGCATCATGGAGCTCTTTAAGTATCTGTGAACGCGCCTTGGTGGGAGGGACTAGAGGAGAGCCCCAAAAAACACAGCCGTCGAATAGACTCAGTTCGTTCTTCAGAATCATAAACGGTTGTAATTCAACTGTCCCTTCAGGAGGCCAACCCATGTTCAAAAAGCGTTTCACCATTGATAGTACGGGGTCTCGATCCGTCCATTGACGGATTGTTGAACTCCGTATCGGTGTTGTGTCTAGATGTTGCATTAGATTAACCAGTTCAAACGGAGGGTCATGTTCATGTGCAGTTTCCGTGATCGGTAGACGGCTGAGTGCATCAGCTGTGCAGTTGCTGACGCCGGTAATATAAACAATCTTGTAAATGTAAGCACTCAAAGTTATAGCCCATCTTTGCATCCTCGGTGATGCCATTTGTTGTATAACTTTGTTTTCCCCAAACAAGGATATCAATGGTTTGTGGTCTGTATGAAGCTCGAAAACGTTTCCCCATAAATACTGGTGAAACCTCTTAACTCCGAAGATAACGGCTAGCGCTTCCCTGTCCAGTTGTGAGTAGTTCTTCTCCGCCGTCTGTAAGGTGCGCGATGCATATGCTATGGGACGTAAGGAACCATCGTCCATGCGGTGGCACAGGACAGCCCCGACCCCCCAAGGGGACGCGTCGCACTGAAGTATGAGTGGCTTGTTAGAGTCATAATGGACTAACGTTGGTGGCGAAGCAAGAGCTTGTTTTGCTTTATTGAAGGCATTTTTTGACGGGAACCCCAACACCACGATGCATTTTTGTGTAACAGCTCATTTAATGGCGATAGAACCGTCGATGCATTAGGCAGGAAACGGCGATAGTGAGATAGCATTCCTAAGAACGAACGGAGTTCATCACAACTCTTTGGCTCTGGGCTTTCTAAACTAGGTTTAACCTTGTCATTTAAAACATGTAAACCGTGTTTATCAAGCCGGTATCCAAGGTAACAAACGGACGGTGAAAGGAACTCACATTTAGACCTTTTCAATCTGAATCCACTTCGCTCCAAACGCTCGAGCACGACCGCGAGTGTTCGAAGATGCTCTGTATCCGAGCGTCCAGAGATAAGAATATCATCCAGATAAGCACACGCAAAAGGAATGTCCTTCACTAGGTCGTCAATAATTCTCTGAAATATTCCGGGGGCGGAATTAATGCCAAAAGGTAAACGAGTATATTGAAATAGTCCCATGTGCGTGGTGATGGTAGTAAGTTTCCTCGAAGGTTCATCGAGCTCTATCTGCGAGTATGCATGACTCAGCTCGAGTTTGGTAAACTTTTCACCACCAGCTAGTGTTGCATACAAGTCATCAATACGTGGCAAGGGGTACCTGACCAGCATGGATGCTTGATTTATGGTTATCTTGTAGTCACCACAAATCCGTACGGAGCCGTCCGGTTTGGTTACTGGCACAATTGGAGTTCCCCAGTCGGAAAAGTGTACAGGAGTAATAATACCTTGAGTCTGTAGGCGGTTTAGTTCCTCTTCAACTTTAGGCCTCATAGCGTATGGTAGTGTGCGCGCCTTAACGAATGTTGGTCGAGCGTCTTCCTTTAGTTTTATCGCAGCCTGAAATTCTTTCAACTTCCCAAGCTCCTCGGAAAAAAGAGCTGAATGTTGTTTAAGTAATGTTTCAAGTCCGGAGATCTCGGTAACTACTTTTACCACATTCATTGTATCCGGGAAAGCACGTATCCAGTCTCTTCCACGCAGATTTGGACGATCCCCGGGGATCACATATACAGGAAGTGTGCGTATTTTGTCGCCATACTGTGCCTTCACGAAGCATTTACCAAGGACACGTATAGGTTCACCGGTGTATGTACGAAGAACAGAATTGCAAGCGGATAAGTTCGGGAGCGTTTTTACAGCGTTTTCCCGGATTATCGTCACGGATGCTCCTGTATCGATTTCCATCTGTACCTTTTGTCCTTCAATGTAAAGCTCTAGAGTGTATGGCGCCGGCTGCATGCTAGAAACGGAATTAAGCCAAATGGAATGTAATTCAGGGTCGCTACCATCAGACTCGTCCACAGTTTTGATGGGGTTTGCTCCTCGATAAGCCCCACCTGAACGTCGCTTGACCGATCTACACACTCGCGCCAGGTGGCCCACCTTCCCGCAGCTTCGACATACTGTCTTCTGATGCCGGCAGTCGGATGGACAACTGTGCTGCTCACCACAGCGATAGCACACAAACAAATTGACGCCAGTGGGTGGCTTTGGTTTTGGTGTATTTTTAATCAACCGCAGCTCATCTGACGAGTCCTTCAGCGTAAATGTTGCGAGTTGTTGTGTAAGGTGTTCCCTCTGCCGGGCAATCGAGCAGGCCGTCTCCCAGGTCAGTGAACAATCATCTTGTGAAAGGAGCTTCTCCCGCGTGCTCTGGTCTGAGATTCCGGCTATCAAACATTGGAGTAACATGGTCTCTTCAAATCTCGTTGGATCGACTTCATTGTATTTACAATCAGGTGCTGCTTGTAGTACACGAGCGATGAACTCGTTCACACTCTCCTCTGGTTTCTGGCAGAGTTTCGAGAAGTAGTATCTAGCCGTAAAAACATTCTGACGAGCACCCCAAAGAGCACTGAAGGTCTCCAAAGCGCCGGTTATCGTAGAAGAGATTTGATCAATGCGAAGTGCATCGAAATACCTTTGATCCTCATCTCCAAGAAACTGTCTCAAGAGCTTCACTTTGGTTTTCTCAGTAAGAGATACTGCTGGATTCAAGATTGGAAGCAATTCCAAGTAATCCGTAAAGGTTTTCCGCCATCTATGCCACGAGTCCAGGGAAGGTTTGTCGGTAGAGCACGACCAGAAGACCGGTGGAGTATTTGTCATGGACATGTTGACCTCCGTCGCCAGATATCACGGCTGGACTCTAACCGCAAGTACGTATTTCAACTAGTAGTGAATAAGCAAGAATACGCGTCAGTCTGGCACGCAGTATACTGAACACTTAACGGTTTACATGTGAACACGGGAGGTTAGGGTGTGTCCTTGAGTGCGTGTGTGCGTGCTTATCTACGTGTGTGTGTGTGGGGCCAATCACGTTCACGGTCATAGTGAGCGATCATTGGTTGAACACGTAACACTGACCACCTCTCGGTTTCGGTTTAGAGACAGCGTATAATGCGTACAGATGAGGGGAAATAATGCGCATTCGGAGGAGACGATTTGAACATCGTAAGCGGTTTAGCTTTAGCAAACACTTCAGTGAGGCACCAGTTGGCTTCTGTCGAAACACCGAAAGGCGGTATATAGGATTGCTTACCCGCATTTCCACCAGATGCAAACAATACTCCGCAACAACTGGTACTCAAAAATAGCCAACTTCTTAATATTTTTTGGAAGAATTAATCCATAGAGTAGCCCTGGCATTGTCGAAGCATCAGACACCCTGTCCTTCACGGGCAGACTAATGTCCCACCGCCTTAATAGATGGTTGAACCTCTGAAATGCCACCTTGGCTGTAGTGATACGCGAAGTAAGCTCCTCAGTAATATGACCACCAGAGGTGACACAACTACCGGGGCAGGTGGCTAATCAACCACTTGCTTTGGTTGCTCGATTACGTAGCGGCTCATTCTTGTACCAATACACAGCTAATGGGACCAACCCGAGGACAGTAATGTTGTACACATGCTCAACCTTTGTCACTTGGTCACGTTGTAGAACTTCCAGTCTGGGAACGGATGTGACAACGGAGGATGTTTTATTATTTCGATCAATAGTTGCAGAATAGGGGAAGTAACGGACAATCAGAGGTAATCCCACTTGTTGTGGAGGGCACAGGAGACACCTTCCAGTAGACTGCTACTGAGCCTCGGGAGTCGGTGTGCAGGGAGTTCAGAATGGAAAGGTGATTTTCTGGCGTGATGTCTAAGGGTACACTGGGTCACGCGTTCACATTACTATGGGAGTAGCAGCTCGCGTTTTAGTGCCTGAATCCCTGTATTTCTTCTTATCTCCATTAAAGCGTATCAAAGAGAAACACTCGGTGAAAGTCTCGACTTAATTGTTATAGTGAGCGTCTTCATAATGTACGCTTGAAAGTATTTAACGCAAATATCACATCAAAGAAGCGTAGACAGCTTACAGAAACATATGCAGACTGACAGTTCGATAATACTTGCTATGATTTTGTATACACAGTTTTGTGTGTTAGTGTATTTTACATCTACCGAGCCAGTTCCCATAACCATCCTTTTCAAATGGATTGAAAGAGTTTCGTTTGAATGCTGCTACATCGCTTGTTGAAAATACTTTGTTCCATATAACCATCACATGAATTCTCGATGAACCAAGCATATGTTCCGCCAAAATTTAGCAATTCAACGGAATGCGATTACGGGAGAACATTGTTCCACTTATGACATAAATGCTGAAGTTCGATGTCAGAAAAAACGTCCGAATTCCAATTGCACCAATCCGATCAGCGGTGAGAATATGAAAACTTTTGTTATGTCCCAAGAGGAGAGACAACGACCCAACAAGCCTTATGGTGAGCGAATTTTCCCTTTTTGTTTCTACGATAGAGTGCCATTTGTCACCAAAAATTAGACCTATACAACGAATTATATATACAATATTCCGTAGATATCCGCTGGTTTTCATAATAGGTGGTTCAGTTTGTAACCCTAAGTGTATAAGAATAGCAACCATTAACTAAAATCCTTTAACGATGCGTTAGTTAAGACAGTCTACTGCTTTCAACCGATTCCAGCAGGACACCGCGACTTGAACCAAATAATATGAAATGTTCAATGGTCTTTCAAAGACAAACAGTACGTGGGTTGGCGTATATTAGCACAACTGGCTTCGGTCAGAGGACCAACACACATCAGGTAACGAGCCGCATTCAGTTCAACCCTTCGAGAGTCGTCGATGTTGCACATTCCACCCACACCGTGCAGACCAAAATCAATTATTTCACTCACAACCAGTTATGTATTCGTGTCAATCATTACCGTACTCCGCAGCTCAATGCTGTTAATCTCTGAGCTGCAGGTTCGTGGGTTTCAGCTCAGCACAGGGCATTTAACCTTCCTAATGCTGTCGAGTCTGCAAGCTCACAACAGTCGTCTGGGCAATTTATGAATGCATATGACTCTCTGATCGGGCCTAGCCATGCTGAAATCATTCAATCTGCGTTTCGGAAAGTTATAATGTGTGTAGAATATTGAGGCTGTGCTAATATAGTGTAAGAAGTGCCTCTCATAATGCAAGGTCAGTTTCGTGAATACTTGCGTATACTTGCGTCTGATTTCTCTTGCAAATTAAGAACAATTTATAGTGAACAGGATTAGTAGCCGAGAGCGTACTATCGCATGAAACCAACAGTTACAGTAGCGATTAGGTAGGTTTTGACGCTCTCGCACTGAGAAACAGTTGGTGAGTCAAATTTCCCTTTGTGCTACTGTTTCGACCAGTTACCCCAAATCCACTAGAGTGGAGCAAATTAGGCACAGAAAACGCTTCCATCACCATGCTCGTGTCTACACGTAGATCACCAAGTCAAGAATACTGGAGACCTTTGGAGATAATTTGTGTCAACGAGTTTGCACCGACGTGATAATTGTTATGAACACATAACGGCGAACGCGCAAACACTGAATTATCGGGCAAAACTTGAAGGAAGTTGCGCAAGTATCCGGTAGATCAGATGACTTGGCACCTCCTTGTGTGCATGTGAGAGTCTGAAGGTTGAATCCGCAACGTCGCTAACGTAAGTGATGGGGTTAGGGAAGAAAAATTGAACGAACAAAAGGCGTGTTAGCGAATGATATTTTACATCTATTTTTGCCAATTTAAAATTACAGAATGCTGATTCCGGCCCACTTCCGTCTTTCCTTTCAGTATACAAAAACACTGTAACTGGAGAGAATCTGACCAGTTATCAGATCACTCCAATCGAAAGACACGTGAAACCAAGACAATCAACAGGTACATTGCTTGTTTCCGTATATTCCTGACATTCTAGATACCAGTTACCTGGTAGCCTCATTGGTCGAAGCATGACAGAGGTATAATTTACGAAGGCGATTTTCTAACTTCCAGCAACTCTATCTCGTTGAGAAAATTAATTGGTCTAAGCCAGTGCACAGTGGAGGATTTGCCAAGATTGTAAGAATCTCTGGGCTAAATGTGACTTTAGTGTTGCTAAATAGAACCCCAAAGGGCCGGGATGGCTAAGTTATAACTGAAAAACCCGCAACGTCATTTAACCGTGGTCACAGCTTGAGGCAAAGGAAGTGAACTACATGGTCTTACTGGACTCTACAACGCACTGCATAGCAGGAATCTAACAAGTGTGGTGGCTGCTCTGACCGGAATTGCAGATGCTTTTGCCGTTAAAGGAGACAAATTGTGGACACATGGTGGGGAAACTAGTCAGAAGTAAGAACTCACGTATTTGTTCGAATAACTGTCAACTGGGCGGGTACATGAAACCTGGATGCATCAAGCACAAAAGAGGGTTCACTTACTAGCGGAATGTGCAATGGAGTATACATGACAACTAGTGTAGCGATTGGGAGCGCGATCGTGTTACCTTGAATGATTACCAACTACTACCATACCTACAGAAGAGGCTGAAGTAAGCAAGTAAATGGTAAACTGTGCAGGTTTCGCATTTGTACTGAATTCCACTTGTAGTGTTTGCGTCCCATTGCTCTTGGCCTGCAGGTAGTTTTCTACGCATGCCACTTGTATCATTGTAGGCTGCTTGACGTCTTGTTGCGAGGATGCCGGTGCTTGAGAGACCAGCGCTCTGCTCTAGTAGGTGTAGTGTGTCTGACATCACGAAACGCACTACAATGTCTGCCATATCGGCTGTCGTCAAACGCCGGAGCCAACAGGTTTTAGCCAGCAATTAGAAGAATGGGGATGAAGTCGTTAGCAACTCACAGGACCCGCGAAACACAATCTCTGAACTGGTCCTTTCAGAATGAAATAATCAACCATAACCTTGCGGAAAACATATGATTGATTAACTGGGTAAATTTCTGGGGAATTCGTTTTAAGCGTTGCCTGTTGCTGACAAATTAGGCGTGCAACAGTATTGTTAGAAGCATAATCTCATGCGTTAAAACTCATCGCCGTAGTTCCCAGCCGACACATACTGGTTCTTAAAAAGTGGTACTCTTATGATCTTCTTGCAAAGGGTCCTTCTGTACTAAGCGACGGATGTATAATATCTTATATTTAGTTGGCCCTCTCAGTTAACAAAACACTCCCGCGCCTCAATTTCTAAAAAGATAACCAAAAGCATGGGTAAAGTGACCACAGACTGGACACGACTTCACTTCGCATGTGAGGCACCAGCAGTCGTGCCATGTCTGTCCGTACGGCTTCACCTTTTCCCTCATAACACAGCGTATGCCTCCGTTGAATTGCTCGTCATGGTGGGCGATTCGAATTTCAAGGTGAATCATCTAACTCGGTGAACAAATCAACAGTTCCACACCCAACCAAAGTTACCAATATTTCAACTTATTGCAGACCACGTGTACAAATACTCTGATTAGAAATGAAAGCCGGGTACGTGGATGTACCGGACCTATGTCACATTGACTCGTAGTTGACCTAGTGGATGTTCTCTGTGAAATATATGAAGAGTGTGCCCGTTGCAAGATTGCCTCACTGTTTCCGCTGAAACATAGAGCCACAAACCGGTTCGATGTTGGTACGGCATACCAAATATCGGTGATTCGGTTTAGAATACTTCTCCTCATAAACTAAGCAAGCTAATTCTTGAACAAAATGCATGCAGTTACCCAATGGTTCTGTACCATTTTACAGGCAACCTCACAGATAATGTCAATAGGTTAGCTTATTAAAAATTCAAAATAACGTGTTGTTCATTCAAGTCGACGCGAGCCCTATCAGTAACACTCTCATTGATCATGGGACATTAGCCAATGAGACTCCCTGGATGTAAGCACCGGGCTAGATGTATGCGTCTATGGGAACAGGTATGCTCCCGAGTAGGTTGACACATTGATGTTAACGGAAGGCAGACAGAGATGAGAGTGTCAGTGCTAGAGGCCACCAACAATACTCCTGACTGTAGCTGGTCAACGTAGGATGGGACGATTGAACTTTATCACTCAGCACCCCTTTAACAGATATTTTGTCCGAAAATGTCACCGTTGGTTCATATTCTTACCCGGAAGGTAGCCGGTGTCCCTGTGCAAAATTACCAGCGCTCGTCCGAGCAGTTCGTAACGTAGCGAGCGCACAATATGTGCGTAGTCCAAGCGGCACGGTACCAGCGGCACATTTAGCCTCCAGGTTAGTATTGCCTCTCGTCGAACCAATATACCGCATGAAGATAATAATAATAACATTAATCATAATCATAATAATTAAATATTATTAATATTATTATTAACAATGTTATTATTATAATGGGCATAACTCTTAGCAAATAAAAAGCTGTGGCACAGAACATACACGCACAGGTGATGTCATGCTCTTGCTGGAGCAATATCACGTTAGCTAATATATTGGTCTGCATTTCTGGCAAGGTATTTGTCCCATATGTTTGCCTTATGCGATGGTAGGAGGCAAATTTGCAGTTTGAGTAGGTTATAGACACTGAGGACCAATTACATTGCGTGAAGTACTGGTATTACACCCAGTAGATGTTATTTGGACTTTCATTGTATAGATGTTCAAGTGATCTTTCCCACTTAAAAAACGACATAATGGTGTCCAGGTAGAGGTAGCTTCGCAACTTACTGCGAAAGGATTGCACAGTCTCACACAACCTGATGGTGGATGTCAGCCGATTCCACAGAGAAGCATATTGGGTGAGACGAAAGTTAAACTGCCAATTTGTCCTGCATCGTGATATAATCAGGGCGATGTCTTTGTTACCTAAGCTTCGCGTGTAATTGTGCTTCCATGTTGAGTTGAATCGATTGTAATGGGTATTGCCATTAATCAGCATATGCAACAGTCTCCAGTCATCTTTTAGTTTTCGCAGCCAAAGCGGATCGAGATGAAGTTGCTAGCATCGTTCCCGAGAGTTTATGATAGAAGATTTTCCCAAACGTGCTTAGTTGAAGGCTTTCTATCGATGTTCTGTTTGATTTTCTCATATTGCCTCAGATTATGCTGCGATACTTCAGGATGGGCTTATTAAGGAGTTTAAATAGTTCAACTGTAGCTGTGACTGTATGCATGTTATGAGAGATGTTAGCGAAGGATTTTCTGGCTCGTGCTATCTGGTACTCAATCTGTGCTAAGAACATGAAGGTACAAGAATATTTGATTCCAAGGTCATGGGTAGACCGTTGTACACAGATGCGTTCGCTAGTACGTGTGATAGATACTTTGGGTGTCAAGCGACCGCGAGATATGATACTTGACTGTTGTGCTTAAAATGTCACCATCCACTTGTCGCATCAAGTCTGAAGCGAACGAATGTATTCTTGAATGAGTGGTAGTACATTCGAAAGCTCAACTCCTTGGTACTTGTGGATAAATGTTTTATCATCAACCAATAAAAACGGCACGCCATGCTTGTTAAGCAAAGTTTTATCGTTGACACAAAGAAGGGAAATTAATGCCTCCTTGTTTGACCCCATTGGTAATTGGACGCGCGGTAGAGCACTAGTCGCCTAAGATGACTACTTTAGCGCGACCGTTCAAGTATGATGATAGCCAACCAATTACTGTGTACCGCACTTCAAAGAAATCTATCTGAATCGGTTACCGTTTGTGAGACACCCGATCGAATATTTGCTGCATGTTCAAGCATAGAATTAATATGGCATATTTTGAGTTGATGAAGTCTGGTATGTAGTTCAGGTAATGCAGCTAGCAGAATGTGTACGAGCGTTAGTCAAGAAAACTGTTTTTGGACCTGTCTATCAGCTCCAGTGAGTTTATGAATTTCCTCACACCTTGTTACCAATTTCATGAAGAATCCGGATATTATAGGAGTGTTATGGCTTAACTTGTAATTGTCAATCTCCTGTTTTGCGCAGCATTTGTGGCGAGGGCTGATAAATGAAGTTTTCCATTGTTCTGTAAAGTACATGGATCCCAGTGAAACGGTAAACATATACAAAAGGATCAGTGGCATATCAGGCCTTCCTAGTCTCGTGGCAGATGGGAGGATGCCATCTGCTTCCAGAATTGACCACAGTTAAATAGAATGCGTTGCCTGGTAGATATTGCGGAGAGCAATAGCACTAGATGGGGCCTTAGTGTAATTATAGCGCTTCTGTCAAGGTTTATGTAGGTAGAGAAGAACGAGCTAACGGCTTCACAGCTGACGCCTGGATGTTGTCCACCAGTTCAGTGATCAATGAAGAGCGTATGTTCGTTCTCTGAAGGAGAAGTCAGACCAACTCTTTTGCTTTACATGTCATTCGTAGGGTTGCTTGATCTTCATGTGTTCTACCCATCAATTGTAAGCTCTTGATTTCAGAGATGAGTCGGTGCATCTGTGGAATCATTGCAACATATTCTATCCTTTTTAGCGCGCGATCGGTTTGCTAGATTTCTGACTCATCGAACGTTCGGCTGCATCTTTTTAAACGACAATGATGCGTTTATCTTGTGTAGCCACGAGGGTTATACCTTGAAGAACCTAATGATAGAAATGCTCCACAGCTGCGCATGCATGGTTGGAGATCATATAGGCATCGCAATTGCAGGACAGGATTATTTCACGGAAGGGTTCCTAGTTAATACTACGGCTGGTGTAGTAGGAAGGAGCTACTTAGTTTGTGGCTATTTTAACGGTGAAAGTTAAGATTATCATGTTATCCTTGCTACTACTGAAACGTCTCTCTGTACGTTGGTCATACCCAATGTAAATATCACGTCTAATGTGTTCATCAACCTAGTTGGTGTAGTAACCCACTGTGTCCAACCAACTCTGCCTGAATAAATGAAGTCTCTGTGTATGGACTAGAAGGTCTGGAAAGACCAGTGTATCTTCGGAAGGTTGAAATCT